CGTCACAGATCATCGGGGCGAGGGCGATCAGTGCGGCGGAGTTTGAGGAGTTGAGAAGGTTGCGAGACACGAAGAGGGACAGGGGTTCGCAGAGTGTCGAGGTGATGAGGTACGAGGCTTGCCAGTTCTACGGCCTCAAGGACCTTGACGAGCACTTTTTTAAGGAGACGAAGGCCGAGTACAAGCCCCCGTTCTCAAAGAAGCTCGACTTTATGCTAAAGGTGCTACTTCCAGGGCGGTTCCTCGACGAGGGGGCAGTGGCCCGCCAGAGTCTCGACGTCAAGATGGTGGAGACCGCGCGGGGGCTGCTCAAGGACTTGGGCCTGGCGCATGCGTTTGACGTGGACGGTGAAACGCGCTCGCTCCTTGCAGGCGGACTCAAAGGCAGGCTATTGCGATCAGACCTGTTCAAGGGTCGCCCTACGCAGGTCGGTTCAAAGACCACAATGTCGGAGAAGCCCGTTTCCGAGATGTTCCGGATCCAGTTGCCGGCGCCCAAAGAGGGAAAAGCTGAACTCGATCCCGTCCAGTTTAAGGCGGTGATGAACGTTGTGCTCGGACACATGGGCCTCAAGCTGGGGAAGGCAGTTGAGGTGAGCCGCCCGCGACGAGGGAAGGGGAAGCAGCACGAGTCGGCGTCCGGGAACAGCGATTACAAGTACAAGCTGGAGCGGAAGTACGTTCTCAGGATGGCAAAGCTCGTCAAGCTGCAGTTTCGAGAAGTCCCTCGAGTCTGGCAGCTTCGGAGAGAGCTGGAGCCTGCAGTCCGAGCGTTCCTCAACGAGGTAGATGCCAGCGATCTGGATCATTTGTTGCGCAGGCCCTCTGGTCACCCTTTGATAGAGGATTTGAGCTCACCAACAGGCGAGGAGAGTCCTGAGTGTATGATTGTGATTCGGTGATTATCGGGAGAATAAAGTAATTGTATATTGAGGTTCTCAAATGCGTCAAAGATGGACAAGGGTATAGACAAGGCTGAATGCGAATCAACCTAGAATCGCCACAATCGATTATGTTTAAGCGTGACGTACTAAGGTATGACACAAATAGTGGCCCAAAGATAGTGATGTTCATTACGTGAGCAAGGAAAAGATAGCTAATGTATGATATTGAAAATCACGACTCCGCAATCGTATATGAGACATGCAACGAAACCGTCAATGTGCACCGTCTTGCCAACTTTTTTGATTACTGTAGTGCTGCGGACTCGATTGCCAATCTCATGCCGCACACTTTCAAGCGATCATGTTGCATGAGAATGACGAAATAGTTGTCAATTCACATGTATCTGTTCAAAGCTTCTTTGTGTCTACAGCACTCTAGTGCATTGACAGACTCATGTCAGACATTCAGTACTTCAAACGCTGCATGTATAGGTTTGCGCAATACAGCTTGAGATATCCATATTGGACCCTTCTTCATTTGAAGACGGTCAAGCTCGTCCGTCGTTGGCAAGCTCGTCCGTCGTTGGCAAGCTCGTCCCTTGCATACATACTTAAGGTGAGGGTTTGGAGGCCGAATATACAAACCTTGTGTCTTTTAATGGAGCAGCTTTCAGATGGACGCATGCTATTTCGAGCCGTCGGAGTCAGCTTCGAAGGCCGTCAGGAACGCATTCGCAAGCTTCGACCCGGCCAGGAGCTCGTGCTTCGCAAGCATTTGGGGAACGGATATGACATATACGCTATTGGAGTTTTTGACCCGGCGGATCGCGAGAATCCTTTGGGGTTCGTTCCGCGCAACATCAAGGATCATAGAGTGTTCGAGATGGTCCGCCAGAGGTCGGAGATGCCGGCACGGGTGCATCGCATCAATCAAGGCAGAGGCCGACATGGGCTGTGGGGATTCATGGTTGCGATTGCGGCGGACCGCGCAGTGTCCCTTGTTGCGGCCTTTGGTACAAGCACCAACATGCCTCATGTTGATCATGTTTTCGATGATAGAGTCTGCCAGATTGTGATCAAACGGCGATCTTGATTTGTAACACGTGACGGGTGGCAGCTCGAGAAGAAGCTGGTTTATTGAATTCTTTTGTGCGCCGTGATTTAACAATCAAATGGATACAATCCTCGGGTACCGCCCGCGGTCGCGCTCTGCAATTCTTGAGATGGATCGTTCTGTGCTACAGAGCGCTCGGTGTGCTATCATAAGAAGCTTTCAGGAATTTGGATTGCTTGAAACGGTTCTTGATGCTGCGGCTCTCGGCGGCATGCGAGCGCTTACCGAACCGCATGATCCGGACCACATAACCACAGCGCTCGTGCGATCATTGGTTGCCGAGGGTTTTGATGCCTTCTGGGATAAGTCGGGGTTGAACGGGCCGTACGGTGTGCAAGTGAGTTGGCGAAGCGCCTTGAATCGCGCAACTCAAGCACGACGCCGTGCACGGAAGTTGCCAGTCAGATCGACACATACAAACGAGCATGATACGGAGGCGTCATCTCCCAAGATTCGCGCATCACCAAGAGCAATTTCCCCGTCCTATTCGTGTCGTGCTCCAAGTATCATTTGGGACGACAGCGAGCCGCTTTTGGGGCTCGAGATGCTTGCAAATCCGCTTAAGGCTCGAGTGGCTCACGAAGCCTCTGTAAAAACGTCGCCCAGATAACGGGAATGTGCTAAAAGTCCTCATTTCTCATTTTTGTACACCTCCAGTCACAGTATCCAGGGCTAGTGTATTTTGCGCGCAAAATGAACCGCCAGCTTGGAGACCAAGTCGGGTTTTGGAGATCGCTATAATCGTTTTCACTGTTAAAAGCTGCTACCCATCTCAATTTTGTACGATCGATTTTGAACATGGCCATTCATGGTATCTGGGATTGAGGACGTTTGGATGGTTAAAAAAAATCTTAGCAGTATCCAGATAACGTGAAACATGCAAGGGCCTATTGAAAGCACGAGACATATAACCACCGTAACCCAAGGGGAAAGGCTACTGCGCTCGGCATTCGAAAGGATTTGACGATTCAACAATATATCAATCATGTCATGCGCTTGTTTCAAGGGTTCAAACGACAACGAGATTTTACCAGCTTCGATTGGATCAAGGATGCCGACGCGATTATCAAGTATTTTCAAGAAGCGTATTCCACAAAGCTATCGATGCAGGCCACTGGAATAAACCCGCTCCTTGTGATAGCGCGCAAAGCGTTTCCCGATGACAAACAGCTCTATGATGCTTATTACAAGCGGTACATGGAGGTTCGAAAGCTCATGGAAGATGCGAAACCTCCTCCCCAGCAGTTGACAGAGCGGGAAGCGGCCAATTGGAAAACCCTGGACCAGATCAATGAACGCCGAAAGGAGCTGCAAAGGCACGTGAATCGCAAGATTCTACACAAGAGGCCCGGAGAATTAAGCGATGAGGACAAATTCGTGCTTTTTCGCCATCTCATACTGTGCCTTTATAGCTATCAACCGGCAATCCGGAATGACTACAGCGATTGCCCCGTTGTGCGCTTGAAGGACACCAAAACGGCCGAGGCACGGGACATCATGTCTGGCTCCGGGAACTATCTCTTGGAGATTGCACAAGACCAATTTCGATTGGTGTTGAAAGATTACAAAACCGTCAAACATCACGGACCCACTTCAATAGACATGTCCACACGATGCAACAATGTCATCGCTGAAAGCCTTCAGGTCTTTCCCCGAAAGTTTCTCTTGTCTCAAATCAAGTCGCCTGACAAGCCCATGAGTCGAAATTATCTGACCAAGGTTTGCAGCACGGGCCTTTTCAAGGACGCGAGTGTGGGTTCGTGTCTACTTCGCAAAATCTGTATAAGCAACCTCTTCAAAGATGCTCCAAGCATTGCCGAGCGCGAAGACCTTGCGCGGAGCATGTTGCACACGGCAGCTATGGCACAGTGGACATATGAGAAGAAATTTAACCCGGATGGAACTCGGATCAAGTTTTGAACGGTTTGTAATTTGCCACTTGGGAGCTGCCTTCAAGACACTTGGATGCCTGTGAATGCGCCTAGATGTAGCGAGGGCACTCCAATTCCATCTGACGTTTCTGAAGACTCCTCAATTCGATTATCATCGTTTTGCCATGCATTATACGGAAGCTTCACTGGAAAGCCGGCATCAAGAAGGCGCTTTAGAGTCCTCCGTTGACACGTATGCCCATTCTGGTAGCACGCAAAGGCTTGGGCCAAAAGGATCGCGCCCCTATGTCTTTGGTAGTATCTCTTCGTGTAAGTCTTTCGAGCGTCCGGATGCTTTTCATAGAATTGCTTGATACCTTTGCATACTTTGCAAGTGCAACAATCGTTCAAAGCGCTTTCGTTATGCGACTCCATGCTGAGTACTAATATCAAGGTAAGAAAATTTGCTTGACCTGACACCGAACGCACACGCGTTTGAACGGCCTCATTTAAAATCTTGTCAGAATGTACGAAGAAATGGCGGACGCCCAAGGCAACCTCTCTGGACCTCAGGCCGCTCAGGACCTCAGGCCCGCAGGGCCCCAAGCCGTTGTAGACGAGATCCAACGGCTCTCCAACGTTGGGCTATATGCAATCCCTGTGCGCATGTTTTGGAATAAAATGGAGGGTAAGAAAGATGCCAAATTTCCATACAAGTACGCGCACATCACGACACCCGAATTGTGGAACCGTTTTATCGATGAAGCAAAGGAGGAAAGGAAGGACGCCAATGGCATTGCGATTTTGACACATCCCAGTCGAATCTTCGTGGTCGATATTGACGTGTCCAGCAAAGATGGAAGATCACCAGGGATCCAACTCTGGAACCGACTTGTCGAGAAACATGGTGAGCCTCAAACACTAAAGGCACGATCAGGATCCGGTGGCTATCATTTCTACTTTAAGGCAGCTACACCCGGCCTCAGATGCACCCGTAACTTTTCAGGCATCAAGATTGATAACATCAA